GTGTTGCTGTCGTGCCACATACTCCTGTATATCTTGCCTTACAAGTATCTGAGACTTTAACCTTCCCCTTTAGACTAGGCTCTATGAGGGCAGTTTCCATACCTACTCCATTTTAGTATGTCCACAGCATTTGGCAGGGTTGATGCTGGATAAATATTTATTGAAAGAACAGGAGGCTCCCACTTCTTACGTTCCCCAGTGTTAATTCTATCTCTGGCTGCTGGCCTAGATTTTCTCCCCAAATCATTTTGAAATAGCTGAGCATTCTGATCTCATTAAACATTATAGGATATGTCTAACTTCCCTTGCTCTATTCTACACTCGCCAAGCAGCCTTCTCATAAGTTGGCTTCCGATGAAGCTTGCCTCTATGAAAAAAATGTGTTAGACAAGCTGATAATTCAGTCCCCCAGCTGTGACAGTTCTCGTTATAGACTAACTCAGTGGTTTTCAAAGTGTGGTCCCCAGACCATTAGCTTCAGCATCCCCTGGGAACTTGTTAGGTGCAAATTCCTGGGTCCACCTAGACCTACTGAATCAGAAACTCTGACATTGGGGCCCAGAAATCTGTGAGACTGCCAGGTGATTTTGTTAGATGCAAAAGTTTGAAAACCATTGGCTTAATTTATATTCTTAGGACTGTTTTTTTAAAAGGTAAGGGTGAGTGAGCAACTCTGAGACCGGTCAATTCTAACTTTGCAGGGCTGAAGGCCAGACCCTGGTCTGTGGTGATACATAAATGTCAAGGGTCTGCTTGTGAGGTTTCCTGGCAGGCAGCGGTGAGAATGAGTAGGGCACATGGTGGCTAAAACATGAGCCAAAGGATAACAGTGAGAAGGTGGACCTCTTCGAGTGAGAGTCCAAGCTCGTTTTGCATATCCATATTTCCATTCAAACGTCTATGTCTGTCATTGGACAGTGCGATGTTGTCCAAACTATGTTATTACTGACATGGTAGAAATGTCTTTTAACATCTACTTCCTTGTGTGTTTAGCTGGAATAAGAAAGAAGGAAGAGGGCAAAATGAAAAGGCTTTAAAAAGGCAATCTCAGTGTTTAATTATACAAACAATAGATTTCCAGTCTTTGAAGTCATAACCAAATAAAATGCTTATTTACTTCATGGCCCTTCTAACACTTTTATTCATGACTTAGGATGTGAATAAGAACGAGCACACTAGTAAACTGACTTGGAAAAAAGTACGGAGAAACAAATCTTTCGCCACTCAAGGAATAAAAATATGTAGAGCATCTAGAAATTGAAAATATATCACAAAATATTAGGTTTGTTATGTTAATTTTATAATGGAATAAAGAGCAAAGACAAATATTAACTTACTAGAGATTCTATTTTTTCGCTCAAAGTCCTGTGTTCCTGTGTACCTGGTGAATTCAACTG